GGCGGCAGCCCAGGGAATACAGGAAGCAGAAGCTCCCTGCACAAGCACAAGGCCCTTGAGACATGGGTTGACGGCTGGAGCGTGCACGCGGGTGCGTCGTCGTCGTCGTCGCCGTCAGTTGCGACGGCGACCGGGGGGGCGACGGCGGCGGCGGCGGCGACGCGGGCGGCGGCGACGGCGACCACGACGACGACGACGACGACGACGACGACGGCGGCGGCGACGGCGACGACGCCGACGGCGGCAAGCGGCGGCGGCGGCGGTGAAGGTGGCCGCCGCCGCCGTCACCGCCGTCGTCGTCGCCGCCGATGCCGCCGTCGCCGTCGCCGCCGCCGCCGCCGTGTCCGCAGCCAGTTGCCGAAAGTTTCAGCAGCGCTTGGGGCCCACTTGCTGGATGCACATGCGGGGGGCTGGCGTGACCAGCCGCGCGAGGTAGGAGGGCCGAGCGCTGGAAGGACACGCGGCCGCCACATCCGCGCGCAGGTCTCGCCCAGTCCAGCCCCTTGCACCAGCACAGGGAGAATGGAGGGAGGACAGTGGTAGTAGTCATAATGATATTGTGAGAGTGCACCGGCTGGTTGCGCCATGGCTTGCCCGATGCGTTACACCACACGTTGTGCTTGCGTATAATTACCTGCGCCATAGGTTGAGCCGTAAGCTGCGCCATAGGATGCGCCCCCAGGGCGTGCCATAGCTTGCGCCATAGGTTGCGCACCCAGGGCGCCCCACAAATCGCGCCTTACGCTGCGTTTTAGGTTGCGCCCTCAGGGCGTGCCATAGGTTGCGTCGATGGTTGCGCCACAGGTTGCGCCAAAGGGACGGTTGCGCCATAGGTTGCGCCGACGGTTGCGCCACAGGGATGACGACGACCATTCTGTGGCACCTGTGGCGCGCCACACCGCCGATCAAGTGCTAAAGCGCAGTGCCCGTTGGCACTGCCTGCAAGATTTGGCGGCGAGCCGAGGGGGGAAATGACAGGGGGCGGGCCTTCTGAGAAGGCTCAGAAGGCCTCCGGCCTTCTGAGAAGATGTCCAAGCCTCCCCCGAAGACACGAAGGGCTTCTCTGAAGGCAAGAGGGCTTCTGAGAAGTCCCGCCGCCTTCTGAGAAGGCCTGCCCCCTCTCACTCCCCCCCTGGGCTCGCCGCCGAACGATATCCACTGGAGGTCGCCCATGAAGCAAACAGGTCCCGCAAGAGACGGGTTTCTGACCGCACGGACGGCCCTCGTGGACCAGCCTTTGATCCCAGGTCGTTTTTTGATTGTCCCGGGGCCTGCCATCCTCGTCCTCCTCGTCCTGCTCATCCTCCTCCCCGTCCTCGTCCTCCTCGTCCTCCTCATCCTCCTCCTCCTCCTCCTCCCTCTGCCTCGCTCCCCCCTCCCCCCAGGAGGTGAGAGGAGGTGGAGGGCACGAGCACTGGAGGGAGTGCAGAAGCAAGGCAAAGGAGGTGGAGGGGCCAGGCCAGAACCCGTTGAAAGGTTCGCGCCGAGCGATGCGAACCTCGAACCTCGAGGATCGAGGCATCCTGGCCCTCGAGGGCCTTCGTCGTCGCCGCGGCTGGACGCGGCTCGGGAAACTGGTGCGTCTGAGCCCCAGTCGGGCCCCGTGGACCCATTTTGAGTTTGCGCCGAGGTTCGAACCTCGAACCTCGAACCTGAGCACACATGTGAGCGTCACAGCATGCCTGCCTGGACGGAGGGGGGGTCCGCACCCCCGTCCCCGTACGCTCGTTACCGTTACGGGTGCGAGCAATAAAAAAACAAGCTCAATGGAGGAGGGGGGGGAGGAGTGGGGGAGGAAGGAGGGGCGCTCAAGCCTCCAGCGTCTTCATCAACATCACGCGTATTTCGCAATGTTTTCCTCCTCCCACGAGGGGTGGGGGCGTTTTCGGGCTCGGGGAAAGCGATGAAAAAAAATCCGGGCCGAACAGCCGTTGCCCGAGAGCTCTGGAGGCCCACAGAGGGCGACGGCTCCGGGGGCCCACGTGGCGGACAACAAGCGCTGCGTCTGAGGCGTGGATGGGGAGCGGCTGGGTTTTTGGGGCTTCAAACGAGTTATGGAAGGTGCCAAGGCGATCTGGGGAGCTCTTGGACCTTCAGAGGGGGGTCCTCCAAAGCCCTCCATCGGAGCCGAGCGGGGCGGGCCCTTGCACCCCTGACGGACGCGCGAGGCAGACGCGGAGGATTGAGGGACGAAGTTGGCGTGGAGGTCCGCCTGGACCGGAGGACGAAGCCGAGGTGGAGGTGGCGTGCAAGCCCGCCCAGATTACGTCGGGGGCGAAGCTGACGCGAATGAGTGGACGGCGAGGTAAGCGTCAAGGATGGAGGTCCGCTAGGACTGGGGGGCGAGAAAGAGACGGAGGCACGGAGGCGCGGATAACTAAAGTGACGCGGGTGTCCGCGGGCGACCAGGGGACGAGGTTGACGCGGAGGACTCAGGGACAACGCTGATGCAGAGGCCCGTCGGGACAAGCGGACGAGGTTGATGCTGACGAAGCTGACGCAGGAGAAGGCGGTGAGGTGGGTGGAATATGACAGGGAATGGCGAGGACGGAGATACGAGGGCCGGTATCTGCGAGGAGAATGGAGGAGAACGTCGATAGGGGGAAGGCGGGGAGATTCGAGCGGAAGGCGGGAGATGGAGGAGGGATGAAGATGACGATCCGGGAAGGGGAGGGGATTGAAAGGGTGGGGAGACGATACAAGCAACGCGGTGTGGCGCGGTAACTCTCCTGTACGTGCTTGCAAACTGCCCGCCAATCTCAGGACTGACTCGTCATGAGCGAATATCTTCACCAGTGCCCTCAGCGAGCCGATGTCTCTCTCTTGCAAAACGATCAAACATTGTACTTGTTCTGGACAGGAAAAGCTATCCTGAGGGGCTTTGTATCGAAGTATCCCCAAAGGGAGAATGGCAATACGGTCGACAATCCATCGCCTATCCATGCGTTGATCCTTTTTCCGTTCGCATCGCCTGCCAATCGCCCTGGACTGCTTTCACAAAAGTCCCTTCACGAGCATACTACAAAAAATTATCCAAGCGGCCCCGCGCCTGCAGAGCAATATATTCCGAAGACGCTGCGCCACCATCCGTCTGGGAGTTGTGTCGACATGTATTCCAGTAGTGAGTGCCTCAATCGAACACATATTCGACATTGAACTCAAGCTGATGTTGAAGTTACACTGCAATCGTACGCGATTCATTTTCGTCTCCTCTGCTGCAAGCATCCTCGGGAACCTCACCGACACGTACGCAACACTCCTATCCATTGTTCATGCATCCACCAAGAACGACCGCCTCCTGACAACCCGTGCTACTTATATTTAGGAATCCGTGCTTCGTCTAAGGGCTCGTGTGAAACAACACGGCGGCGGAAAGTAAGAATACCTGCCACCACGAGTGCAGCGGCATGCGAACGAGTAAGACAAGTCCCAGATGCTCGTCTGCAGCACGCGGCTCCAGGGCGAGCGAGGCGTGAGCTCGGCTCCCCAGAAGGCATCGACGCCAAGACGCAACGGCGTGTTACGCTCAGCCTCCAGGCGCTGTCTTCTTCGCGCCACAAGAGACGCTGCCCCACTTCACGCGCCCTGGGCCACAAAATCCGGCGCCCCGCGCCGCGCGAAGGGCGGCACACGCCGCGCCCTCGCGCCGCCCCCCTGGAGAAGGGCAGCACGCCCCCGCGCCCTGACCGGCCCCAGGTCGCCTCGGAGGAGGAGGGGGAGGAGAAGGATGGAGGAGGAGGAGGAGGAGGAGGAGGAGGAGAGGAGGAGGAGGAGGAGGAGGAGGAGGAGGAGGAGGAGGAGGAGGAGGAGGAGGAGGAGGAGGATGGAGGAGGAGGAGGAGGGAGGAGGAGGAGGAGGAGGAGGAGAGGAGGAGGAGGAGGAGGAGGAGGGAGGATGGAGGAGGAGGAGGGATGGAGGAGGGAGGAGGAGGATGGAGGAGGAGGAGGATGGAAGAGGAGGATGGAGGAGGAGGAGGAAGAGGATGGAGGAGGAGGAGGAGGAGGAGAGGAGGAGGAGGAGGAGGAGGAGGAGGAGGATGGAGGAGGAGGAGGAGGAGGAGGTGGAGGAGGATGGAGGAGGAGGAGGAGGGAGGAGGAGGAGGAGGAGGACGGAGGAGGAGGAGGAGGATGGAGGAGGAGGAAAACCGATCCCCGAGAACGGGCCGCGACGTGCCGAGGGCGGCCCACGGCCGGCCCGAGGCCGGCACAAGATCGCCCTCGGCCAGGAGAGGCCCGGCGATATCCCCCCCGCGACCCCCACAAGGCCCAGGAGGCTCTCGAGGGGCTGCCTAGCATAAATCGGGTCGGGCGAAAGGGGGGGATAGCAAAGGGGGGGGTTGAGAATCAGCTCGCGTAGCTGCTTTTCCCGGCGCCTCCCGGCGCCGGAGGCGGCCATGTATCGAGGAATGGGCCCCTCGGTGAGGCCGAAACCAGCTGCATGCAGGAAATTTCGTACCCCCCCCTTTCCCAAACCCCCCCTTTCGTCCAGCCCGAATAAACTTGAGAGGCCCAACGAATTGCACACTAGATATTTCTGATTGTGCTTCCACGGATGCCCCGAGGGCCTAAGGATAGCCTCCAACAAGTCAATGGACGGCCGTCTGGCCGCATCAGACGGCGTCCCAGCGAGCCAAGCAGCTTGCTGCATGGCTCCAAGATGGCCCCAAGACGGCTCGATCATCTTCCAAGACGGCCCAAGATCAGCCCAGGGTGGCTCGAGAACGCCAATGGCAGACTCACGAGAGTACCAATACCTTCCCATTCAGCCCCAAGCCTCCACCCCAGCCCCAATACTCCGAAGACTACCCCATGACCCCGGCAGGCCCCGAATGGGCCACCGAGACAACTTTAAGAGGCCTCACACCCAACCCCCCCGAGATGCTCACAACAAACAGCGCAGATTCATTAGACTGCCCATCCACGACACGCTACAACATCGCGACGCGGCCTTCCCAAGCGGTGGAGGATATGCAAGACAACGAAGCTGGATGGTGATCGCACGTCATTTCGAAACAGCTCGGTAACAATATGTCGCTACGTCGCGTTGAAAGACAGCTTCGGGAAAAGTGGACGTACCACGAGAGCACCCGGGACTCGCATGTGCGAGGGCCAACAACGAGGAGAATTGGATTCGTGGCCACACGAACGCTCCCGCGGCGATCGGCCATGCTGGCACAAACATCTGCGAACACTCCTGAAGTCAGGAGCCGTGGTCTTCATCAGAGCTGCAACAGCGGCGGCACGGCAGATTGAGCGAGAGGCAGGGCAGCGTCTGAGGCCTTCGCCGTCGGAGGAGGAAGAGGATGTATGTACGAAGCGCGACGGATGTACGACGGATGACCGGGTGTGCGAGAACAACAAGGCAGGGAAGGAACACCCGAGGTGGCAGACCAGACCAAAAGAGAAGGCCTGCAGCAAATATGGCAAATCTACAACAACAAAGGAAAACAAATGTATTGCACAGACACTGAGCGGGAATGAGGTCGTATGTTCCACTGGGTGCAACACCGGATGCTTCCATAGATAACGAATACCTTCACGCCGAACGAATAGTAATTAATGTGGAGAAAGGAAACCGGTTAATCCGCTGGACCCCTCGGGGGCCAACAGGCAGCGTGGCGAAGGCTGTCCTGATCCCTGCGCCAGTTCTAGTTCCCAAGAGAGAATGATATATGGTGTTTCTGGTGCCGCTGTTGTCATGATTGAAGACCGCATGACGGGGGGAGCCCTAAAAGGCATCATTGCACACGCCAAAGGAAGGTTCTCATAGCTTCCTTGGGGTGCCCTGGGCACGTAACATGCAACAGACTCGCGGTCCTCAAGCCACAGTCCCTCGTAAATGCAACAAGTCTCGGGCCCCCGGGACAACAATCCTTCGCATATCACATCAGATTCGCGCGCGCGCGCCAAGCAACAATGTGTTATGAATTAAACACACGGCTCGTGCTCCCGAGGCCACAACGCACAGTAAGCTATTACCGCTTCGCGCCCAGGAGGCCACCATCCATGGTAACTTACAGCAGGTTCGCGCGCTTGCCAGTCCGCAGTCTTCGATCTATTCCGCCAGGTTCGCGCTCCCCTCTGAACCTTGCCATGCCTTGGCGCTCCCTAAGCCACAATCCCTGGCAAATCACGCCATGCTCACGCTCTCCAGGCCACAGCCCCGAGGAACTTGCGCTGGGCTTGTGCTTCCCGAGGCCGCACTCCCTTTGTAAGCTATAACACCCTTGCGCCTTGGGAGCCGCCCCCCCGTTGAAAATCACAGCGTGCTGGTGTGCTCCCGAGACCACGCACCCGTCCCACGAAGGGGCCGCCCAAAAGCGCCACTCCTCTCCAGAGCAGGAAAACTGCCATCTCCCGTACTGGGATCTGCTAAGGGGCCCAGGGACACGCAGAGAAATACACACAAATTCCAGGATCCTCCATATGTTCCTATATTTTCTGGGCTCTCGCCTTCCCCACCACTTCCCATATCTTCTCCAATGTTCCCGGGGATCGACGACTCATTGTGTCTGTGTGTTTTTCCCCTCCTGGTATGTGCTCGGGGGGGGGGGGGGGGGGCGCTTTTCGGCCCCGACGCCATGTCCTGAGACCCCGGCTCGGGGCTCCGGGTCACGCACTCTCGTACATGGATGTGGCTACGGGCGCGCGCTCCCGGAGCCTCGGACCATCGTAAGGTAAGTTGCAGTGGAAGCGCGCTCCCGAGGCCACCATATCCCAGTCATTACTAAAGGGGCCCAAAGACACACAAATAAATAGACACAAATAACCTGATTCCCCATACTTCCCATATGTTCCTGGGTTTTCGTCTTCCCCCCCACTTCCCGTATTTTTCCATGTTTTTCTGGGAGTGGACGATTAAGTGTGTCTGTGTTTTTTCTTCCTGATTTATTCCGGACGCGCGCAACCAGTCAGCCAGCAAACAGCTCGATTCAATTGTTAGTGATACGTTCAGCAACAAGATAATCAGCCGAGCTACCAGCCAGCCAGCCGACGAGCAAACCAACCCACATACCAACCAGACGCTGCCATGCAAACAGTCTGGGAAGGGCCGGCGGCAGAGGGCGAAACCGCCAGATAGTACTGGTCTTTTCCTTGTCCTTTCCGTCTAGCGCCCCCCCAAAAGGCCACAAGACATCCCCGAGAGACCCCCGACATTTCAGTTAAGGGCCCAAGCGCCCCCCCGAGAGCCCACCAACGAAACATTCGAGTCTCAATCTGCCCGTGTCACACCCAAGACGATTTCAATAAACCGCACTCACAATCGCCAAACTCCCAAGGATCCGCCGGCGATGCGCCGCCTGCCTTCTCGATAATCCGGCAAGACTGGATGGGAGAGTAAGATCGGAGGGGAGAAGCAGGTTCAATGGACGTGGAAGACGCGCTGCAATGCAGAGAGGTCCGGGGTCCTTTCTGGGCGCTCGAATCTAATGCAACAAAAAAAGACGTTCTGGCTTGGCCATCCAATCCCGCAACTCAACGCATCACGATCATCCGATCGGTGTTCCTTGTTTATTGCTGGTCGAAGTTTCCGTCACGATCAGAACTTCACAGTGAAGCGATACAACGATACGATGTTCGCTGTTGTTTCTCGCGCCCATGGTCCAACGGTTTGGCACAAGCTGGGACGCCGCGCTGACCGTGGCACTCTGTCGAACAGACCCGCCAACATACAAGGGGAAGTGGACATCGCCGATTTTCGTAACGCTCGGTCTCAAGAGTCTCTGCGTGGCGGCGCCCCAGCCGACACGCTTGCCCTCTGCGTGCCTGCGGGAATTCCTTACAGAGGGGTGCCAGATGAAAAGAAGGAGAACAGGCGGGGACATGAATGAAGGGGCCCTGGGACACACAAATAAATACACACAAATGAAAGACTCCCCATATTTTCCCAAATTTTCTGGGTTTTTGTCTTCCCCCCCAATCCCCATATTTTTCCATATTTTCCTGGAAGTCGACGATTACTTGTGTCTGTGTGCTTTTTCCCCTCCTGAATGAAGAGAAGCAGGGCGAGGATGGGGGGACACGCAGTGGATGACGGCAGCGAGCGCGAGGGGGGAGCGGCAGGAGGGGCCTCCGGGACGGTCGAGGCCTCCAAATACGTCTTGCGCCCGGACGGCCCGAAGTGCCCGCCAAGAAATCCTGGACGACCCAAGTGAGCCTTTTTTTCCTTTCCAGCTCGTGGGGTCCAGATTCAAGCGAAGACTGGAGACGGCATCTGCTCGAAACAACAGCATGTTTAAACTGTATCTCTCCGCTCGAGATTGTACCCAGAGGAGGCTTAACCTACGAAGCCGACGTTCGGGAGCTCAACACAATTCCAAGAGTTCCCAAGAGAGCTCCGAGAGGGCCATGCAAGGCTCCGAAGAAGGCCAACAGCAGCGGGGCGGGCGGGGGCGGGCGAGGTCGGACCAAGACGGGTGGACGTGTTGGCGGGGACCGGCGGGGACGGCCACGGCATGGGAACGCTGACGGACATGACATTCTCGCACGAATCCCTCACGGACCGTCCCAGGATGTCCAAAGCCTGCCGAGCATCCTCCTCCTCCTTCTCCCCCTCCTCCTTCTCCTCCTCCTACTCCTTCTCCTCCTCCTAGCCTACCTTCTCCTCCCTCCTCCTCCTCCCTCCTCTTCCCACTCCCCCTCCTGCTCTTCCTCGTCGTCGGCCTCCTCCCCTTTGGGCCAACAGCAAGGCGACGAACGACTTGCAATAATCAATGGAAGCCTTTGGGAAACCGAGCTTGGGCGGCAGGGATGGCAGAGAGATAGAGAGAGAGCGAGAGAGAGAGAGAGAGAGGTTAGGGGAAAGAGACGGCGAGACGACGGAGGAGGGAGAACAACTATATCGGCACCGACATGTGAACGGGCGGTGATTCGCTTCGTCACTGGGAGGTCCCTCTCGCAATGGCGAGTGCTTGCGAGACACCCGGCGCGCGATGCGGCAACGAGGCGGCAACGGGCGGCAACGTTGCGACTCCTCGAATGGCACACGCAGTGCACGACGCGGCAGAGGGCGGCAACGTGGGGAATCCTCGGGGGGGCACACAGCGTGGGGAATCCTCGGGGGGGCACACGGCACACGAGGCGGCAACAGGGCAGCAATGAGGCGGCATCGGGGCGGCAAAGTGGCGGCGACCCTTCCGACAACCCCCACCAGCGCACGACACGGCAACCGAGGCGGCATCGGGGCGGCAACGGCCCAGAAGGCCCACGCAGCGCACGGGGCGGCAGCGCGCGGCAACGAGCTGCAGCGTGGCAGATCCTCTTGAGACAAACGCAGCGATCGGCGGTGGACAAACCTCCCCTTGGTAGACCTCACCTTAGTGAAAACGGCCTGGGACCGAAACCGACGGACCTGGACCCGCAAAAATAACGGCCGCGACGCCCTCTCGCGAACCGAAAACGGCAAATTCCTCAATCGACGTGTCAGGGTAGGAGGTCTGTCCAACCCCGAAACGAGCGAAACGGCAACGAGGCGGCGACGGCACGGGCACGGGCGGCAACAAGGCGGCAGGGCGGCGAGTCCCTGGGGAGTCCACACGGCGCACGAGCGCCGGCAACAGAGCAGAGCAGCGCGGCGGCCACCGGCGGCCGCGGGGCGGATCCTCGGAGGACAAACGCAGCGCACGACGCAACCTCCTCCCTCCTCCCTCCTCCCTCCTCCCTCCTCCCTCCTCCCTCAACGAGGCGGCAGCGAGGCGGCAACGTGTCGCGAAGAGGCGGCAACGAGGCGAATCTTTCGGGAGACTCGCCCAGCGCGCGAGGCGGCAAGGAAGCAACCACGGGCGGCAACGGGGCGATTCCTCGGCAGGGGTCCACCCAACGCGCGAGGTGGCACCGAAACGGCAAGAACCGGCAACTGACAGCAACGAGGCGAGAACGCGGGAGGACCCCGTTCAGGTTCGTCGTTGTAAACCGATTGTCTTTGAATATGCGGCAGTGGCAGGAACTCGCAGATAAACCAACGACGCATGAGTAGCAATAAAGCCTGGCACTGGTGAACCCAGCTTGACAATCGACGAGATGACACATACCTCTTATACTACTATGATCGACTGGCTACCACCACAACTACTGCTAGGGCTGCTACTACCGCTACGGATGAGTGCAAGCAGACCGTCGCTGCGCACACCCTCTGCGCGCCGACTGGCAACGCAACGCGCGCCCTCCTCGTCGCCGCGACCAAATGACAAAAAACTAGTTGAGTTCACCATCGGCCTAACTCTGAACTATGACTTTGATCAACCGAGAAAGATCTGCGAAAATTGGTAGTTGGATAAGCATAGCCACAAGATGCCGATTGATGATACGAGGTGATGGACGGAACCCGTACATCGCATGTTCGAACGCATAAACCAGCATTCGGGTGATAAGATGGGGTGGGATGGCGACGACAATTTTTGAGCTGCACTCGGCGCACGCTTCGACTCACGGGTTGACACGCATCGGGACATCACTATGGGTTGCCAGTGCCATATCTATCTGCCGTTCTAAGTGTTCATCCCTCGTTCGTTATGTGTATGAATTATGTGTATGAATGATCCTGTCGATCTATCCGTCTATAAATGTATGTAGATGTCTATATGTATATATGTATCACTGTCTGTCCATCCATCTCCACCTGTGCACACATGATGTCACTATGCAGCTGTCCACCTATCTACCATCTACCTGTTGGTGTCTGGATGAATCTGTCTCACCACCAATCTACCGATCTCACTATCACGATACCTGCCGATATCACGATCTACATATTGGGCCCACCATCCAGACAACCATCTGGTTTATCTTTCCATCGACCTACCTTCCTACCTGTCTAGCCATCGATGCCAACATTTCCATCCACCTATTTCACTGCCTCGACACCTTTTCCCGTATACCCATCTATCTGTATGTCTCACGAATATGTATTTGTTTCGCCGCGCAGGGAACCTTTCTTGTTGGACGTTTGCCCCGCAAGACGCATTTCTTGGTTGCCTGGCATCGGCAGGAACGTTTTATGTGAACGACGGCCTCGAGGAAAGCATCTTGACCCATTCTGGTAGTATGGTTTCGCAGGAAACATCGTGACAACCATCGGGACATCAGTCGTGATAACCATCGGGACAACCATCGAAACAATCATCCCGCAAACCATCGGGACAAGGGACAACCATCCGGACAACCACCAGGACAACCATCGGGACAACCACCAGCAAAACCATCGGAACAACCATCGGAACATCCTTCGGAACAACCTTCGGGGCAACCATCAAGACAACCATCAGCACACCCATCGGGACAACAATCGAGACGGCTGGGCCGGGCCATGGGCGACTAATTTTGGCCTGGCATGGCCTTTACCATGGCAAGAACTCGCACAACCTCGCCTAGCCTTGCCCGCACGCATGTCACGCACGATGCGAACCGATACCGAAATCGATTTCCTGGTTGGGCGGCTCCGTTCCGCTTCGATCTCACCCCCACCTCCGATCACTGATCACACGCGCTGCTCTTCTCTTAACTGCGGCGGCTGGCAACACACCGTTGACTGCGAATGCCATTGTGATAGCGTGAGGGCGAACTGGCGTCTTGGCAGGGATAGAGGGCCTGTGGGAGGTGGTGGCTGGCGGACGGCGAGCTTCCCTCCGCCAGGTGAGTAAACGGGCGCGGAACATGCCTAAGAGAGCCTGGAAGCAGGCGGCTACCGCTCCCGCTCACCACATGAACGCGTCCTGGCCGGCCCTGTGTTGCGGGGCGTCGCAGAAGACCACCTGCGGGCGGAGAGAGACAGCCAGCCTCGAACGTAGCCCTATCCCTAAGATCATGAAGCCCAAGGCGGTGGCAGTCTTAGAGATGTGCCATCAGAAACTGAAGGAATCCTTGAGATCGGCACCGATGTCAGGTGACGCCAAACATGAGGATAGGGATAAGGTTCAAGCTGGTAAAGAGACCGCAGGCAGGGCCGATGTGGACAGCGGGCTCAGGTTGATATACAACGTTGCGCTGCTGGAGAGGTGACTGCGGAAACTCGCAGGGCTCCGCGGGACTCATCTACCGAAAAGAGCTCCAGCAAAAAAAAAGATATTGAGTCGCAACCGTAGATAGCATCGGCTGCCAACTTCCCACTGCCTGGCACGGAAATCCCACCAGCCCTTTGGGCGTGAGTGGTTTAGAGAGCCCGCTCTGTCCTCAACCCCCCTTCTTCCCCTTCGGGGAGGGGTTTACCCCTCCCCCTACCCCCTCCCCCTGGGCCTGGAGAGGGCGGGCCGCGGGTCGTCAGGGGAGTCTTTTTCGACTCCTGGGAGGGGCAAAAAACGACGACCCTCACGAGGATTCTGGCCCCGACGGGGGGACCGAGTTTGGCCCCTCTGCTCTTCTTTGAAACCAAAATCATTGATTTTACTAGGGTTTTGGCCCCATTTTGGCCTCCTGAAGGGGCCGCGCTTCTCTTCCCTCATAGCAAAATCATTGATTTTACGAAGGTTTTGGCCTCATGTTGTTCTTCTCAGGGGGCAGCTCTCCTTTGCGCTTCTGCGGAGGTCGCAAGAGGCCCCAAGATGGCCCCAAGAGGCCCCCAGGAGGCTCCCAATTGGCCTCCAAGAGGCCCCCCAGAGGCCCCCAAGCGGCCCCAAGAGGCCCCCAAGAGGCCCCCAAGAGGCCCCCCAGCGGCCCCACGAGGCCCCAAGAGGCCCCCAAGAGGCCCCCAAGAGGCCCACGACGCCCCAAGAGGCCCCCAAGAGGCCCCCAAGAGGCCCCCAAGAGGCCCCCAAGAGGCCCCACGAGGCTCCATGAGGCCCCCAAGAGGCCCCACGAGGAGCCCGAACGACTCACATCACAAGGAGGGGCCCGAACGACTCACACCACGAAGAGCCCGAACGACTCACACCACAAGGAGGGGCCCGAACGACTCACACCAGGACGAGGCGCCCGAACGACTCACACCACGAGGAGCCCGAAGGACTCACACCACGACGCGGGCCCCGAACGACTCACACCACGAGGAGCCCGAACGAGTCACACCAGGAGGAGGGGCCCGAACGACTCACACCACGAGAAGCCCGAACGACTCACACCAGGACGAAGAGCCCGAACGACTCACACCACGAAGAGCCCGAACGACTCACACCAGGAAGAAGGGCCCGAACGACTCAGACCAGGACGAGATACCCCAAACGACTCAAACCACGAGGAGCGCTTTCTCTCCCTCCTCCTTCGCCTCGTCCTTCTCCCGCTCCCCCCACAAGGAGAATGTACAAGGAGGCGGGAGGAAGGAGGAACAGAGGAGATATGCGGGGCCAAGCGGACACACGCCTGAAAAACACGACTGTCGGCATGCTTCGCGAGAGTTGCTGCTGTGAGATGGGCTGGTGGGGATACGCGAAGCGTAAAGAATTTAAGTCGAAACATGTCGTAAGGGGCCCAGGCTTCGAGATGACCTCGGCTAGGGTGCGCGTAAAAGGCGTGCCTGTGCCTCTGGTGAACTCATTCACCGAATTATGGACATCTTCACGGGGACTCGGCCGCCCTGCAGCTGTCGATCAACCCGCTGCGTCCTATGTTTGCAATCGATGGTGCGTTGAACTTCGGGTTCAGATCTCAGATTAGAAACGGCGGTCGGCCCAATCAAATCGCCACACACATACCGAGAGCCGCCAATTTGTGTGCGCGAAGGAAAACTAGGAGGAAGAGGACGAGGAGGGTGGTGGTGGGAACTCAGCCCGTTCTGGTGCCAAACGAATGTGGGTCTCCGCCGGAGAGCCGTTACTGCTCTCCTGCCATCTCCTGGCAATCCAACAGAGGGACGGCCCGAGTCGTCGACTCCAACCAACTACCACGGAAACTCCACCAACGACTGCTGGTTTAACATTCAGCCCCGCGTCCCCGTGAAGAGGCACTTTTTGCAATCGGCCTTACACCTCAAAGCGACTGGACTCAAGCTTGATCCGACACCAAGTCTCGAAACCAACCATTCTCGGAGCCACGGCTCACAAAAGCGCGACCAAGAGCAACTTATACCGCAGCACCCCGCAGACGCGGATACGAGTGAGGGGGCGGCGGGGACGTCTGCAGTCTACGAAGCTCTGAGGAAGCCGCCGCAGACGCTTAATTTTGACAAATTGCACAGCGCGCCCGCCGCCCGTGCCGATTTTTCGTTAAAGCAATGTAGGTGGGTCGCGGGGAAGTCGCGGTTGGGTCGCGGGTGGGTCGCGGGTGGGTCGCGAGTGGGTCGCGGGCCGGTCGCGAGCTGGGCGGCGGGTGGGTTGCGGGTAGGTCGCGGGTAGGTCGCGGGTCGGTCGCGGGTGGGTCGCGGGCGGGTCGCAGGGTGGGTCGTGGGTGGGTCGCGGGTGGTTCCCCGGTGGGTCATGGGTGGGTCGCAAATGGGTCGCGGGCGGGTCGCGGGCCGCGTCGCGGGTGGGTCGCGGGCCGGGGCGCGGGGGGGACGACGCCAAACAACAAACAAACCGCAACAGCAACAGCAACAGCAACAACAACAATACTAACAACACCAACAACAACATCATCAACAACAGCAGCACGAACAACACCACCAGCAACACCAACACACCAACAACAACATTAATAAGAACAACATCAACAGCAATAACAACAGCAACAACAGCAACAATCATGTTAAGACTGTTCGCACCTTTCTGCTCGCGTGCCGATCAATACGTATATCCCAAATCCCCGGTACCCGCCCTCATCGTCTTCGATCGGACCCCCTTGAGGGTATATCTTCCTTTCCTGCCACTTGCATGTAGTGCAGCCCCAAAAAACAATGGAAAAAAGGACGGGAGGAAGGGAGAGGGAGAATCATGGAGCACGAGAGAAATTAGCAGGAGGGGGGCAAGTAGCTGAAAACAAGCGGTAGCACCAGACGGGCAGATCGGGTGGGCAGACCCATAGCGGGCAGGTCGGGAAGGCGGGCCCAGGCGACCAGGTCGAGCAGGCGCATTGCTGAAGCGTGGGTCCTGCATGGATCGCGAGGAGGTTGCGAGCGATAGCGCGATTCCCATATAAATCTAGAGACAAGCCAAAGCGAGAGCGTGATTCCTGAACGCCGAGGGCGCATCGTCTGAATAAATTGCGAGGAATTCCCACGCGTGAGCGCGATGCGTACATGAATTGTGAGGAAGTCCTGCGCGAGAGAGCGATGTGGGACTATATTGTGAGGAAGTATCAAGCGGGAGCCGTTGTTGCTGTAAACCGGGGGCCAGGGGCCCAGTTTGAGCGCCGTGACTTTCCCTTAAAAAAACAAGGTGCGAGCCCCGGAGGAAACGCTTCAATTGAAAAACACAATGGTCACCGGAGGGGGGAATCAACAATACTTATTCTTCAGTCGTGAGCATTCAAGAACAACAACAGCAACACCAACAATCATGTTAAGACTGCTCGCTCTTATTTGGTCGCGTGCCACTCATCACGTGCATCACAAACCCTCGATGAACCGCCCTCTTCGTCTTCGACCGTACCCCCTCGGAGGTATATCTTCCTTACCTGCCACGCACATTTAGCGCAGCCCCTAAAACAGGGGAAGAGAGGACGGATGGGGGAGGGAGAAGGATGGAGCGCGAAAGAGGGCCTCTCGGAGTAAATCGTGAGGAAGTATCGAGCGGGACCCCTTGTCATCGTGGCTGCGCATCTGCGGGCTGGGGCCTCTGTGGGCTGTGTCGGGGGGCCTCTGTGGGCAGTGCGCTGGGGCCTCTGCGGGCGCGCTTGGGGCCTCTGCGGGCGCGCTTGGGGCCTCTGTTGGCTGTGTTTGGGGGCCTCAGTGGGCAACGCGCTGGGGCCACTGTGGTCGTCCTTGGGGCCTCTGTGGGCTAGGGCCTCTGTGGGCGCGCTTGGAGCCTCTATGGGCTGTGCCGGGGGGCCTCAGTGGGCAGCGCGCTTGGGCCTCAGTGGTCGCGCTTGGGGCCTCTGTGGGCTGGGGCCTCTGTGGGCTGCATCGGGGGCCTCAGTGGGCAGCGATTGGGCCTCTGTGGGCGCGCTTGGGGCCTCTGTGGGCTGGGGCCTCTGTGGGCGCGCTTGGGACCTCTGTGGGCAGCGTGTTGGGGGCCTCAGTGGGCAGCGCGCTTGGGCCTCAGTGGGCGCGCTTGGGGCCTCTGTGGGCTGGGGCCTCTGCGGGCTGTGTCTGAGGGCCTCAGTGGGCAGCGTGCTGGAACCTCTGTGGGCACGCGGGGGCCTCTGCGGGCAGTGTCCGAGGGCCTCAGTGGGCAGCGCGCTGGGGCCCCTTGTGCGCGCGCTTGGAGCCTCTGTGGGCTGCGTCCGAAGGCCTAAATGAGCAGCGTGCTGGGGCCTCTGTGGTTCGGGGGCCTCTCTGGCCAGGGCGTGTCGGAAACATTGCGAGGGCGTGTCGAGCGGGAGCCCCTGTCGTCGCAGGTGGGCCTCTGGCGCCCCTGCTGAATTTCAGTCTCTGGCCAAGGGGTCTCGAAGTCCAGCTTGTAGAAATATTGAAGGGGAGCCTTTGTAGTCGCGGCTAGGCCTCCACCAACTTGACTGACTTACGAGAAAGTCTCAAGCGAGAGCGCCACTCTTGAGTTCGGGGGCCTCTCTGGCAAGGGTCTCTGCGAATACATCTTGAGGAAGTATCGAACGGGAGCCCTTGTCGTCATAGCTGGGCCTCCACCTATTTGACTGACTCGCGAGAAATTCTCGAGCGAGAGCGCCGTTCCTGAGTTCGGGGGCCTTCCTGACCAGGCGCTTTCGGAGTAAACCGTGAGGAAATATCGAGCAGGAGCCCTTGTCGTGGCTGGGCCTCCGCCAACTTGACTGAATTGCGAGGAGCTCTCGAGCGAGAGCGCCGTTCCTGAGTTCGGGGGTGTGAGGATGTATCGAGCGGGAGCCGTTGTCGTCGTAGCTGGGCCTCCAAGAAACAAATTCACACGCAAGCCAACACTCGCGCCGGAGCCGCGTTTTCACAGAATATGTAACCAGCGTCGAAGCGACAGCGCGCGGAACCGCTTCCGGAGACCAGCAATAATTATTCTCTAGAAATGAATATTCAACACCACCAACAACACCAACGCCAATAACAACAACAACAACAACAACAACAACAACAACAACAACACCACCACCACCACCAACAACAACAACAACCACCAGCAACAGCAACACACCCAACAACGACACACCCAACAACGACAACGACAACACTCACTGTAAGACTGTTCGCTCTTATCTGCTCGCGTGTCATTCAACACGTATATCCCAAACCCTCGATACCCACCCTCTTCGTCTTCGATCGTATCCTCTTGGGAATATATCTTTAGTTTCTGCAGCCTGTAATTCGTGGAACACTTAAGGCAGGGGAAGAGAGGACGGATGAAGGAAGTGACAAGGGGGAGAGAGGAGGATGGAGCACGAGAGAGATTACCAGGAGGGGGGTTAGGAGGAGAAAGCCCGTGGCAGAACCAGACAGGCAGGTCGGGCGGGTAGACCCTCACAGGCGGGCCCAGGCGGCCAGGTCGAGCAGGCGGGTTGCTGAAGCGTGCGTCCTGCGAGGAAGCCTTGAGCGACAGCGCGATCCCAAAATAAGTCCCGTGAGGCAATCCAGAGCGAGAACATGATTCCTGAGTTTCGAGGGCGCGGCGCCAGAATCAATCGCAAGGAAGTCCCAAGCGACAGCGACATTCCTGAAAGTCGAAATCGCGATGCCTGAATAAATTGCGAAGAAGTATCCGGCGAGAGCGCGATTCTTTTATACATTGCAAGGAAGTCCCTAGCGAGAGCGCGATTTTTCAATCAATTGCAAGGAAGTATCAAGCGGGAACCGTTGTCCTTGTACACCGCGAGGGCCAGGGGCATAATTTGAGCAGGGATACTTCCCCTGGTAAAAACACAGCGAGCCCCGGGAAGCCCTCAAACACAAGTGCCAACGCACGTCCACACGCGCGTGTATGTGTTTGTGTGTGCACGCACGCCTGTGCACCCAACGTGCGAAGCATTCCTGGAGCGATCTGCCTCGTGCCCGCTCGCTCATGCGTGCTTTCTCATGAGAGCGTGTTCCTTGCAGGCACCGCTTCCAGCACGCACACTTGGAGGGCAGGGCGGTGGAATCGTCAATTCAGGAATGTGCTCAGGAGGAGCCTAACTTGGCGTATGCCTAGTTCCAGGTGGAGTGGGTTACCCCTGTCCTAACCGCATGTGAGCATCGGGTCACGAGACCCCGAATTCTCACTCTCCCTCCCCCTCTCTCTCTCCCTCCCTCTTTTGTTTTTCTCTAGTTATGTTTCTATGTACATGCTTGTATCTCTCTCTCTCTCTTTCTCTTTCTCTCTGTCTCTCTCTGTCTCTCTCTCTCTCTGTTTCTCTCTCTCTCTCTCTTTGTCTCTCTCTCTCTCTTTCTCTCTCTCTCTCTCTTTCTCTCTCTCTCTCTCTCTCTTCAGTTATATGTATATGTATAGACGTGTCTCTGGATATATACATATATATACAAATATTATCTATCTATCTCTATATGTATATCCCCTTCTCTCTTTCGAACAACTCGTTGTTCATTGCGCACACCCTATCGTGTTTACGTGTGCGTCGCCATCGGGTGTGCAAGGACAATGAGAACAATTGGATGCACTGTGGATTGATATCCACTGCCGAACTGGATGGGCACATGACAAATATGCAGATAAGCTTGCCTATAGGAGTTCGCAGTCCGTCTTTAAGAACCAGTCGCGCGTGCGAATCTCGCTGTGTCTCTCCCTCTTTCTCTCTCTCTCTCACACTATCTCCCTTCCTCCCTTCCTTCCGCCCTCCCCCCCCCGTAGATTTTCCTAAAGTTGCACATGTAGTTGCAAGCTTCTCTACATCAGAAAGATGGGGCCGATGCAAATTCATTATTGTTGTTGGTGATGTTGAACTCTAGCTATTGAAGAATAGTTATAGTTGATCCCCACCCTCCGGTAACATGTGTTTGTTCAATTGAAGTGCCATTCTATGGACTCGCACCCGGTTGATGAGGGAAAGTCTTCCTCCTCGAACTGTGCCCCTGGCCCCCGGTTTACAACAGCAACGGCTCCCGCCTCACACTTCCTCGCAATTTACTGAGGAATCGCGCTTTCGCTTAGGACTTCCCTGCAATTTATCCAAGATTTGCGCTCTCGCCTGCGACTTTCTTGCAACTTATTCAGGCGCCACACCCTCGCCATTCAGGAATCGCGCTCTCGCCGGGGACTTCCTCAGAATTTACTTAAGAATCTCGCTCTCGCCTGAGACTTCCTGGCGATTTATGCAAGACTCACGCATTCGCGTAACATACGTGTTTTTCCCATTGCAGTGCCGGGCCGAATTCGAAGCAGGAGCTGGTGGATAGCGTACAAGAGCCTGCAATCGACTCTCCACAAAAGAATCTTGCAGGCGACTCGTTGGCGGAAGTCGCCTTCGACGCAATGCCGATAAGCCTTTCGCACATGTCTGCAAAAACGTTCCGAACGTTCATCAATCACCTGTGCAACATTACCCGGACTGCCTCGTGGGGGACGCCTGCAAACGGCTGTTAGCATGCAAGCCCGCGGTTATATCAGACTCATCCCGCTTATTCAATTCCACTTCTGGGAAAAGAACTTCTTGTGTCTGGTCCTCGCACATCTGGAGCAGACTGCGTTTTGCTCCCTTCGGTAGCTCCCTGTCTAGACCCCATGTACTCCATATGCCTTGATTAACGACCCCGGGGGCCGATATATTAAGGCGCCTTTTCGGAGGGCGGAGGGGGCGGTTTATTCAGGCGGCGTCGCGTGACCGAAACTAAGGGGGCCGTACTACTAAGGCGCAATCCGTATCGCAATTTTGGCACGGACACTTATCATCCAACGCGTCACCATCACCGCGAATGCTCTGAACTATTATTAGTTTGTGCCAGAAGCGACAAACTGTTTTGTAGGTTACCTTTGATTTGACACTAAGCAAATCGACCCACTATCAATTCTGGCATGCGCATGCAGGCACAGACACGGCAACATGCCCTCAATGCAAACACTTCCGACGCAAATTCGCGTGCGGGCACAGGGGACAGATCTGACGCTCAATTGTCAGTCCCTCGAGCAACCATGTAGAGTGGGGTACGAACGGGTTGGAATAGCAGTGGTGTGGGGAGGGACAGGGGGAATGGGAACGATTGGGAAGGAGATGGGAGAAGCGCGGCTGAAGCCGGAGAATTGGGAAGGGTTGAGATCGCGCAACCGCTGCCCAATCATTTCCACCACCATAATTGGAACTCAATATTCCTGGAGGGGTGGGGGGCTGGAATATTAAGGCGCCTCCCACGGATGGGGGGCCGGAATGATAAATAGCCGAAGCAGGGGGGGGGGGGCGTTTTTTTATGGAGGGGGGGTGTATTAATGCATATGGACAAATCCCATGGGCGCCGACGCGCTGGAGGGGCTCTCGAGCCCCACAGCCGACCTGTCGGGCCCCCCCCCTGCAGCAAAATGCCAGAGAGTCTTGCCGCCCAAGCGGTGTGGTAGGCTATACGCGCGCACTCCAGCCCGTTGCCGGCCCGAGCCCGCCCCGCTGGGGTCGTAGTAGGTCGTCAGCGCCAGCCTCCGCGTCCGGCCAGCCCATCTGACGAGCAGGGCGCCGTGGATCCTGGAGCTCGAGTCGCGCGGGAGGTCCGCACGGACGACTGGGGTGGAGGGAGGAAGAGGCGGAAGGGGCAGGAGCGAAGAGTGATAATGAAGGTGGGCGGGGAAGGGGGAGGGGGAGAAGGAGGAGGAGGAGGAGGAGGAGGAGGAGGAGGAGGAGCCATAGCGACGTGAGAACGTGGCTCCCATGTGCTAGCCTGGCCACCTCAGCACAGTCGCCGAGGGAAAATCGTTCCCGACCTGGGCGGGAGCCTTCTCCCGAGGCGGTTCAAAGCCTCCGACCCTTTGCGCGCGGGCTGCCGGCAAGGTTTACGGAACCGTCTTTTGCTGCTCACAGCGAACAACACCCGCAACCCCGCAACACAGACAACAAAGTACCCCCATTGAGCACCGCCGTAGCTGAAGGGGCCCTGGGACACACAAATAAATTCACACAAATAAAATCATTCCCCATATTTCTTATATTTTCTGGGTTTTCGTCTTCCCCCCCACTTCCCATAGTTTCCCCTATTTTCTGGGGAATCGACAATTAATTGTGTATGTGTGCGTTTTTTCCCCTCCTGAGTAGCATGGGACTCATGGCGCGAGGTGGCAAGCGGGTGTGAGGACGGATCGGTCCCAGGATCCCGCGGCTCGGGCGGCTCAGGCCTTCCTTCCCCGGCAGAGGCGCAGAAACCCGCAGAAACGCACACACTTGCTGGCCAGGTCAAAAAGCAGACAGGACATCGCGCGAAGAGAATCGAGCTGGACACATACCACACTTCATCATCGCCTTCAACTGCACAGGCGAATGGCCTGCCTCGAAGACTCTCGCGAGTCTGCTCTGGGCACCTGTGTGGGAAGGCTTTGACTTATGTTGCTCCCGTCGTACTCAAAGACCACATCCCAGAAATAATTTCGAGCACCCAGAAAAGTGTCGAAAGAGTGTCGAAAGAGTGTCGAAACAACGTCGAAACAGTGTCTCCAGGGGCCCGACACGTGAGAACCTTCGAATTTGGGGTGCACTCGAAATTCTTTCTGGTGATCAAGGCTGAAGCAGGTGGGAGCATCATAAGCTTTGACGCGGACTTGCTCGTGCCCGACTCGCTCTCGCACTCGTGCTCTGGGGCAGGTCACAACAACCTCGCGCTGCGTACTGACCAGTCCCATTACATCAACACGGAGTTTAACATTGTTAAGGCTTATGTCATTTTAGCCATCGGGGACAGCAATTCGAGAGGCCGCCTCCCAAGCACATGCATCAGCTGCCCCACTAAAAGAGTTGTCCAGTAGTCGTTGAATGGGGGGCGCTGACTTGGGCTTCCCCCTCGGGGGGTGGGGGTTCTCGTTCGGGCCATCCCCTCCACCGGCCTACACACGTTTTCCCACCTCTTGTGCTCACCATCCTCGCAGCCACCGCAGCCACTTGGCAGCTTGGTACCTCGCACCCCACCTTCTGGATGTGGATGATGTCCGAGGTGGAGGACTAGGAGGCCCCTCCTACAGGAGAAGCGAGCCGAGGTGAGCCTCAGCTCCCCCTAGGGGGACTGAGTCTCACGGTCGGGCCCCATCCGCACGCACACTCCGTCACCACAGGCAACCTTTCTTGCCCTCCCTCCTCGGTTCCCAGGTGCTTCATCGGTTTCCATCGTCCTCGCCGTTCGGTCATTCTTTATTCTGTTGAGACGAAGCGCTTCTATAGTAAGCACACGTCTTGGTTACGCAAGCATGAAACAGCGAGGTTGAATGCATTTCAGGCGCGCTGCCTGCGCAAAAATTCTGGACACAGCGCATTCACAGGCCAGTCGCGCCCCCAACGCCGAGGTTCTTCAGCGAGCCCGGCGGGCCAAGCTCAGCGACCCTCTGTTGCAGCGGCACTTGATCTTGTTCGGTGGTATTGCGCGCAAGTGCAGAGACCATCCTGTCAGGCAGGCCGCTGTCCAACCTTCCTCCTCCGGCTTGGCACGGCAGCCCGGCCACCGAACGAGGGGCGGGCTCCAGCAGGCAGGCGTGGGCGTCGGAGTTGCATGAGCATGCGCGCAGCACATCTGTCGACGCGCTGGTTGTCATACATAAGTAATTTGGGCACCCTGGCAGCAGAAGCCTGGAGAGCGGCAGTGCGCAAGGATACCGTCTAGCGCACGCTCGTGCCCTTGCTCATGTGCCTAGGGACACGCGGCTTCATTCATTCATTCATCCATTCATTCAGTTATTGTTCCCTCTAGTAGTCTCTCTTTTTACCTCTTGGTTGTTGTTCCCCCCCCTCCCGCACTACGGGTGGGAGGGCGAAGGCCGCAGCAATCATGAAGACAGAGGGCCCGCAGCTCGAAACTCGAAGGGAGGCGGAGGAGGGAGGTGGAGGGAGGGAAGCGGAGGAGGCGGAGGAGGAGGCAGGAGGAGAGAGGCGGAGGAGAGAGGCGGAGGAGGAGGGAGGCGGAGAGGAGGGAGGATGAGGAAGAGGAGGAGGAGGAGAAGGAGGAGGAGGAGGAGAAGAAGGGAAGCTCGAAGGGAGGCGGAGGGAGCAGGAGCAGGGAGGCGCAGGAGGAGGAGGAGGAGGCAGGAAGGAGGCAGGCAGAGCCTCCAACCTTCACCACCGCCTGCGGGAGGCCCCGCGGGGCCCGCGGGATGGGGCGGAGCAGGTCGCCAGCGGCAGCGACCGTTCGCCCGTCGCCCGTCGCCCGTGCCGCCGCTCCCTCCTGCAGAGCGGGCCTTCTGCAGTTCGCTGCTCTGTTCTCGGCTGGAAAAGGGGGGGCAGATGGAGCTCGACCTCCACTGTCTGCCGGGGGAGCCGGAGGGGGGGGGGGCCAGGAAGGGGGGGGGGGAGGCGCGCATCGTGGCCCGAGGCATGTGCGCGGAAGGGGGAGCCAAGGGGGGCGTGTCGAAAGAGGAAGGGGGGGGGCGTTGAACTCTGGGAGAGTTCTCTCGTGTCTGATGCGAGATGGCATGGCGTCCTTACGCCGCGGCTTACGCGGGCCGCCAGCGCGGGACGCCCCATTGAAAACGATGGCGCTTACGGGCGACCTTACGCGGCCAGCTTACGCACCAATGTCGGTGAAAGCGATCTCGTATTTCTGCGTCGCTCAGCTGGAGGAAAGGACAAGGTCAATCAACATCGAAAGAGAAAATCGGATCGCAAGGGGATGTGCGCCATATCGGCCTGCATCGGCACGGCGTCAGAATCAAGTCGGATCGGCCGCGCCAAGATGTACACCGACAGCGCCATGCAAGCATCGGACCGCATCGGATCGTCTGAGCATCGGAATCGAATCGGGTCGATCCGGCCGAGATCGGCATCGAATCGGACCGACTCGATCGAGGTGGACCCTGCACGGGCGGCGGATGGAGCCCGACCTCCACTGTCTGTCGGCCGAGCCGAAGAAAGGGGGGGTGCACATCATGGCCCTGGGCACGTGCGCGAACGGCGGGCCGGGGGATGCGTTGAGTGAGGGAAGGAGGGGGCCGTGAAATCTGGGAGACTCCACTGCTCTGGCCATGATATGCACCCCCCTATTGAGACCACTGCGGGGGGTGGAAAAGGATAGACAGAGGGGGGTTAGAAGCGAATGCTAAGGTATAGTATATGTATATATAGACACATATATATATATATATAGATGTACATACGAAAATATGTGGCCTAACACAGCTTATACATGGGTTGCAGGTGCCTGAGCGGTTTAAGGGGGTGCAGGTCTGGTCAAAGTGGGCGGGGCCCATTTAGCAGAGTTATCTTATCTTGTAGTTATCTTGTCACCCTGAAGCACTTAGGGTACATGTAGCCAGCTTGTAGGCCAGGGCAGGCCATATATAAACCACCTTAGCATACATGTTTAAAATCCCGATTCTCCTAATAATGAACCCCAGCGGTGATCTCATTAATCCGCAACCCCCTCTTGGACGCCAAGTTGCAGGATTTAGGCGCAAAGAGCTCTGGGGCAGTGGACGCAGGAACCCGGCAAGACTGGGACACCGGATGCCACCTACGCCTCGGCCACCATCGGCCCCCCCACTCCGCGCAACAGAGGCAGGGTGTGGACAGGATAGGGGGCCCTGGCGTGGGCAGTGGGCACCACTTCTGGCCTCGCACGCTTCGCTCGTTTCTGGCGCATGTCTGTCCCCCCCCATCGGAGACGCACTTGTTGCCCTGCTACGGCATACCACAGCCGCCAACAACAGCCAGAAGCAGCCGGTGCGCCATAGCTGCCTTCTTCCCTGGAAGGGGTGGCCGATTCCGAACCTGATCCTCGGCCTTGGGAACCACTGGCATGGAGGTCTGGAGGTCTCTGAAACTCCCCGGAGGCCTCCGAGGCTAGCAACGCATCACTACCACGAGCACACAGTGAAACCTACATCCTCGAACCTCGACCCCGACGGATCGAGTCCTCGGTCTGGAGGTCCACTGGTAGGTGCCCTCGCACGTCGCAGCTCGCACCCCCTCCTGGCTCCTCCAAGGGCGGCGTAGGCTTGGGACCGACGCGCGGGTCCTGAGGCAGCTCGCGATGCAGAGCGCCAGTGCTGCGTCCTCGGCGAAGTGCCAGAGGGGCGAATGGGGTGCCGGCCGATTTCGCAGGCCTAGGGATTGACACCAACACCAATTTCGGCGGTGTGCCTCCACCGGGGGAAGAAGATACCGATCTCGGTGATGGTGGAAACATTCTGGCTTCCAAGGTTGCCGAACTATTACCACCAACACCGAAAATCTAGGATCACCTTTCCCCTGTGGAGGCAACCCCCTGTCTTGGTGTTGGTGCCAATTTCCAGGCCTCCGACGTTTGGGGGAAGTTGGTTGAACAATGAAGCAGGAAGGCAACCCGAACAAGATAATGAGCTTCGGTTCCGCCGGACTAACATATTGGTCCGCGGGAACCGATCGAGGCTTGAAAAGGGTTTGGGTTCGAGTGTATTGGGATCTGGGGGTAAAACTTTACCCATCTCAACGGACGGCCTTCAACAGCAAGAGAGCCAATTGGCGCAACGCGGGCAATGATGGGGGCGGGGGCGCGGCACTGTTTCGCTCTGAGTGCTGGTCTCGCCATTGCAGATCCGTCGTCGTCGTCGTCGTCGTTGTCGCCGTCGTCGAGGGGGTCGGCGTGCATGAACCTGGCAAGCGCCACAAAAAGAAACCAGGAGGGACGGTGGGGGAGGGAAGCGCAAGGAGGAGCAAGATGAAAGGACGCAGCACGATAGGAGGGGTTAAGGGGTAAAGAGAGAGAGAGTGGGCTGGAGAACGAACCGACGCCGACTCGTGCCTCCGCCCGATACCATCTAGAGCGGCATCCACGCCGAATGCCTCGAATACGTCAGGGCTGCAGTGTGGGCGCGCACGGGGGAACGCAGCATCGATGACGTCCCTGGCTTTCTCCCCTGACGGACACCACACATCACCACAGCCGGCAAGCAACGGTGCCTTAAGGAGCTCTGGGACTGCCCTGCAGCGTGCAACTGAGAAGTGCCTGGCCAGCTGCGAACATTTGACACAAAGCACAACGAGGAGAAAAAAAGGAGGAAAAACCATGCGCCGAACAGCCATGGCCTAGCGTTTTTTCCCAACCATCCTGTGGTGTTGGGTCTTCGTTTTGAAGAGACAGCGCCCCGCGTCCCACCTCTCCTCCTCCTCCTCCTCCTCCTCCTCCTTCTTCTCCGCCTCCTCCTCCTCCTCCTCCTCCTCCTCCTCACGCCTCCCCCGCACCGCACACATTTCGGCAAACCCCTCAGACGTTTCGTGGCCCCATGGGGAGCTCCACCGAATGCCCCAGTTGCAAAGTTCGCATGGCGGCCCCGCCCCATTTCTGCGCACCCCTCACTCGTTTCGTGGCCCCATAGGGCATCCCACCGAAGGTCCCACTGGCAAAGTTTGCATGGCGGCCCCGCCCCATTTCGGCGCACCCCTCACACGTTTCGTGGCCCCATAGGGAGCCCCACCGAAGGCCCCAGTGGCAAAGCTCGCATGGCGGCCCCGCCCCATTTTGGCGCAGCCCTCACGCGCTTCGTGGTCCCAGGGGAACCTCCACCGAAGGCCCCACTGGCAAAGCTCGCATGGCGGCCCCATCCCATTTCGGCGCAGCCCTCACACGTTTCGTGGCCCCATAGGGAACCCCACCGAAGGCCCCACTGGCAAGGTTTGCATGGCGGCCCAGCCCCATTTCGGCGTACCCCTCACACGTTTCGTGGCCCCATGGGGAGTTCCACCGAAGGCCCCACTGGCAAAGTTCGCATGGCGGCCCCGCCCCATTTTGGCGCAGCCCTCACACGCTTCGTGGCCCCAGGGGAACCTCCACCGAAGGCCCCAGTGGCAAAGCTCGCGTGGCGGCCCCGCCCCATTTCGGCGCAGCCCTCACACGTTTCGTGGCCCCATAGGGAACCCCACCGAAGGACTCACTGGCAAAGTTTGCATGGCGGCCCCGCCCCATTTTGGCGCAGCCCTCACACGTTTCGTGGCCCCAGGGGAACCTCCACCGAAGGCCCTACTGGCAAAGTTTGCATGGCGGCCCCGCCCCATTTCGGCGCACCCCTCACACGTTTCGTGGTCCCATGGGGAGCTCCAGCGAAGGCCCGAGTGGCAAAGTTCGCATGGCGGCCCCGCCCCATTTCTGCGCACCCCTCAGACGTTTCGTGGCCCCATGGGGAGCTCCACCGAAGGTCCCAGTTGCAGGGTTCGCATGGCGCCATGGCGCCCATTTCGGCACACCCCTCACATGCTTCGTGGCCCCATGGGGAGCTCCACCGAAGGCCCCAGTGGCAAAGTTCGCATGGCGGCCGCGGCTAATTTCGGCACACCCCTCACATGTTTCGTAGCCCCACAGGAAGATCGATCGAAGGCCCCACTGGCAGGGTTCGCATGGCGCCATAGCACCCATTTCGGCACACTACTCACGCGTTTCGTGGTCCCACATGGAGCTCCACCGAAGGCGGGGTCACGACTGCGGTACCCATAATTGCATCTGGTTGGGTCCTTCGCCAGGATAAGTGTTCAAAACCGGTGTTAAGAAACGTCGTAGTTTCCCAACCCGCGCTCTCCTCTCTTCCTCCTCCTCTTCCTCTTCTTCCTCCTCCTCCTCCTCCTACTCTTCCCCCTCCTATTCTTACTACTATTCGTCGTCCTCCTCCTCCTCTCCTCCGCCTCCTCCTCCCTCCTCTCATCATCATCATCATCATCATCATCATCATCATCATCATCATCATCATCATCATCACCATCACCATCACCACCACCACCATCATCATCATCATCATCAGCATCATCATCATCAGCATCAGCATCATCAGCATCAGCATCAGCACCAGCATCATTATCAGTATCATCATCATCATCATCATCAGCATCAGCATCATCATCAGCATCATCACCATTATCATCATCAGCATCAACATCATCATCAGCATCATCATCATCAGCATCATCACCATCATCGTCATCATCTTCATCGCCATCATCATCAGCATCATCATCCTCATCAACATCAACATCAACATCAACATCATCTTCATCATCAGCAGCATCAGCATCAACATCAGCATCATCATCATCAACATCATCACCAGCATCAGCATCAGCATCAGCATCAGCATCATCATCATCATCAGCATCGCCATCATCATCGCCAGCATCGTCATCACCGTCATTGTCATCAACGCTTCGTGGCCCAGTAGGGAGCTCCACCGAAGGCCCCAGTGACAAAGTTCGCATGGCGGCCCCGCCCCATTTCTACGCATCCCTCACACGTTTCGTGGCCCCGTAGGGAACCCCACCGAAGGCCACAGTGACAAAGTTCGCATGGCGGCCCCGCCCCATTTCGGCGCACCCCTCACACGCTCCGTGGCCCCATGCGAAGCTCCACCGCCTCAATGGCAAAGATCGCATGGCGGCCCCGCCCCATTTCGGCGCACCTCTCACACGTTCCGTGGCCCAATAGGGAGCTCCATCGAAGGCCCCAGTGGCAAAGCTCGCATGGCGGCCCCGCCCCATTGCTGCGCATCCCTCGCACGTTTCGTGGCCCCATGAGGAGCTCCACCGAAGGCTCCAAGCGCAAAGTTCGCATGACGGCCCCGCCCCATTTCGCGAACCTCTCACACGTTTCGTGGCCCCATGGGGAGCTCCACCGAAGGTCCCAGTTGCAAAGTTCGCATGGCGGCCCCGCCCAATTTCGGCGCACCTCTCACACGTGCCATGGCCCCATGGGGAGCTCCACCGAAGGCCCCCGTGGCAAAGTTCGCATGGCTGCCCCACCCCATTTCGGCGCACCCCTCACACGCTTCGTGGCCCCATGGGGAGCTCCACCGAAGGCCACAGTGGCAAAGTTCGCATGGCGGCCCCGCCCCATTTCGGCGCACCCCTCACACGTTTCGTGGCCCCATGGGGAGCTCCACCGAAGGCCCCAGTGGGAAAGTTCGCATGGCGGCCCCGCCCCATGTCGGCGCACCTCTCACACGCTTCGTGGCCCCATGGGGAGCTCCATCGAAGGCCCCAGTTGCAAAGTTCGGGCGGGTGGGATGTTTGCACGAGCAGTGGAGTGGGCAACTTCAAATTGCGCACTGATGGAGTCCATCGCGTAGATTGCACCGCATGAACTGCACCACGTCGATTGCACCGCATCTATCGCTCCACAGAGATTGCGCAGCATATCATGCACCACGTAGACGGCATCACATATATTGCGCCACTTATATGGCCCAACCTAGGTTGCACGATATCTGTATATACTCCTTATCCAAAGAACACTAGGGTCTACCCCCCGCTTCCCCCCACCCATGGACTTAACGGGCCGCGTTTTCGTATTGCAAGTCATAAATGGTTCTGCCCCAACGTTCATCTTAAATATGAGCTCGCATCACTCCAGCCAGACTGGCACCGCCGCCCCCCTTCACCCTCTGCAGCGAAGAACTGTGCGCACACACTCGTTTATCATAGCTCAGCAGTTTTCACGAACCCCTTGAAACAAAACTGGGCGAAGTGCACGCGAGCGCGTCGCCGCGCGCTCGCCACAAACCTTCGCAAGCCTTACCGTCGCACGAGTTGCAAAACCGAGCCCCCCGAACACATTTGAAGCCATGGGTTTCGCAGCGCGAGCTTTCAAGAAACAATGTGCGCTCGGGCTCTTGCGAATGCTATATATATATATATACATATATATATATATATATATATATATATAAACGGATTTAAAAATGTTTGTTTCAACGACATGTCTAGAACGTGCGACCAAATCGGGCCTCTCGCACGCGCATGTCGAAATCGCCCGAGCGCCCTCGCGCGCGCGCTGTCGCAAAACTTCGTTGCGAAAAAACAAAAAAAAGACGAAGGGCGCGCGCGTTTCGCCGCGCGCGCAAACCTTCGGCGTCGCATGGGCGTCAAAACCGAGTGCCCCGAAAACGTGTAATAACACGCGGCTTCGCAACATGATTTCTCCAATAGAGCTTGCGCCCGGGACCCTGCGACTTCGCAAAAACGCCACAACTTTTGCGTCACCTAGCCAATGCCTTGCTACCGCGCGGAGCTCTCGCGCGCGCATGTCGAAATCCACCAGGCGCCATTGCGCGCGCGCTATCGCGAGGATCCCCTGCAACAGATGCGACGACGCGCGCGCGCGCCGTCGCGAGCGCGCGCCGACATCTTTCAAAAACCGTGGGGCCCACGTGGATTTCAATAGCGACCGCCCCGAAAACATAGAACACGCGGTTGTGTACCATCTGCTTTGTTTATACACACACACATATATATACACACACGTGTGAGAAAAACACAGTCGCGCGGGCTCTTGCGAATTCTTCAGATAACCGTCGGTTTTCCCAAATTCTCATCGCATTTTGCAAAACGGGCCTCTCAGGCCGCATGTCGAACTCATCCGCGCGCCCTCGCGCGCGAGCTGGGGTGGGGTGGGGGGGCGATCCACGTCGGATCATATCGCGGGGGCCACTCGCGCGCGCCGACCTCCTTCCAAAACCATCGCCGCTGACGCGAGGACATCATCATCGTTGTCGGCGGGCGTGATCACCGTCGGCGCCGCCAATGGCCTTGCCGTCGTCTCATCGACACCATCGCCACCATCATCGCTACTTTCGTCATCGCGTCCACCGTCGTCGGCGTCGCGCTGATACCGCGCCCGCCCAAGTCACCGACTCGCACTGAAGTGCCCGCTGGGAGGTGCCTAGCGGTCAGCGCCTCCGCGGCCGCGTCAGTCGCGCCGCACTAGCCGACCGCTACGCGCGCGAGCGCGCGCGGGATAGCGCAGCCGCAGGGGCGCACCAGCCAACGCAAAGCACTCAGCGCAATCGCCGTCACATGGGTGCTGCAAACCATGTAGCGGGTGGGTGGGTGGGATGATTGCGCGAGCAGTGGAGTTGACAGCTCACCTCGAGCATTGGATTCTCCTTTCTAAAAATACAATCTCCCCCCCCCCCCCGGCGTTATCCGTTCCCTTTCGGGTATGTAAATCATATGCGATTCTGCCCACATGTCCATCCTAAATATGAATTTACGCTATCCCAGGGGAACCGGTATCGCGCCCCCTGCGGCTCCCGGGTAAAAAACGATACGCGGGGACATTGCTTGCTCTAACAGAACACTTTCTCACGAGTCCCTTGCAACAAATGGGACGAAGTGCACACGCGCGCGTTGTCGCGCGCGCATGTCGACATCATTCAATAACCTTCGGTGTCGGAAGGATTTCGCAATCATTTTCCCAAAAACATACAAAAACACAGGGTTTCGCAACACTGATTTGCAAACAAAAAGCTTACACGAGAGCTCTTGCGAAACCTTGAGACAACCATAGGTTTTTCCAGATTTTCAAAAAATGCTACCAAACGGACTTTGCGCGCGCATGTCGAAATCTGTCGAACGCCCTTGCGCGTGTGCCGTCGCGAAAATCCTCTGCCAAAAAAGGGACGAAGTGCAGACGCGCGCGTCGTCGCGCGCGTATGCCGAAATCCTTCAAAACCCATTGGTTTCGGCAGGATTTCAAAATCGTGTGTCCCAAAAACATACAATGACACAAGGTTTCGCAACACCGATTTTTAACAAAAGCGTGCGCGCGCGCTCTTGCGTCGTCATCGTCGTCGCCGTCCTCCCTCCTCCCGCGTCGTCGTCGTCGTCGTCGTCGTCGTCGCCTACGTCGTCCTCTGTCTTTCCTCGTGTTCGTCGTCGTGGTTTTCTTTGGCGTCGTGGTCGTTTCCGTCGTCGTTGTTGCCGCGGTCGTCCTTCCTCCTCCTCCCTCGTCGTCCTCGTCGTCCGTCGTCGGCGTCTCGTCGTCCCTCCCATTTTGTCGCCGTCGTCGTCGTCGTCGTCGTTGTCGTCGTCGTCGTGTTCCCTCCTCCAGCGTCGTTGTCGCCGTCGGCGTCAATGTCCTTCCTCCTTCTTCGTCGTTCGCGTCGTCGCCGTCCTCCCTCCTCCCTCGTCGTTGTCGTCGTTGTCGTCGTTGTCGCCGTCGTCGTCCTCCCTCCTCCCTCGTCGTCGTCTTCGTTGGCGACGTCGTCGTCGTCGTCGTCGTCGGCGTCGGCGTCGGCGTCGGTCGTCTTCGTCGTCGTCGACGTCGTCGCCGTCGTCGTCGTCGCCGACGTCGTCGTCGTCGTCGGTGTCGTCGTTGTCGTCGTCGTCGTCGGCTTCGTCATCGTCGTCGTCGTTGTCATCGTCGTCGTCGTCGGCGTCGGCGTCGTCGTCGGTGTCGTCGTCGTCGTCGTTGTCGGCGTCGTCGAAGTCGTTGGAGACGTCGTCGGTGTCGTCGTAGTCGTTGTCGGCGGCGGCGTGCGTCGTCGTTGTCGCTGTCGTCGTCGGCGTCGCTGTCGCTGCCAAGTGCCATTTGGTACCCACCGTCAGGGTCTTAAGAGATTTTGCAAACCAAGTTGCGGGTGGGTGGGTGGGATGTTTGCGCGAGCAGTGGAGGTGGTCAAGCGCGGTGCAGGGTAGTCAATTGCACAACGTAGACTGCGCCACATTAAGTGCGCCACGTATTGTTCCACACATATATGTAG